GTCCCTCCACCCTCTTGCCCCCCATCCATCATCTGTGGGTTCCTCCACCACTTGCCATACATCCTTTCCCCACCCACCGTCTAGCAGTTCTCCTGTGTATTTTCTTTCTGTGACCTGCTTGATGGTCAGTGGCAGACGTGATGGTCAGTCTCCACCTGACCGCAGTCCTCAACGTCGTCGATGAGCATGAGGATCAGGCTGCTGCAGGGAGACTCACTGCCCCCCGGAGGAGCTCCGTGGGCTCTGTGCGTGTCTGCTGCCTCTTTGGACCCCTTCTCCTGGACAGTGGTCAGCTGTGTCTGTTCCCTGACTTGGGGTTTTCAAGGAGTGCTGGTCACTTACTTGTAGAATGTCCTCAGTTTGTGCTTGTGTGCTGTTGCCTTGTGGGGAGACAGTCGCAGGCTGCGCCGTCCCATCCCGAGTGTCCAGAGCCGTGTGTGGCCCCTGAGGCCGTCTCGTTCCATCTGTGTGTCAAGAGCTTTTTCAAAGATGAAGCTCTTACTGCTGCTAAAACAGTCTGCTGCGGTGTCACCTGTGGTCCCAGCTACTCGGGAGGCTGAGGCAGGAGGACCACTGGAGCCCAGGAGTTCAAGGCCAGCTGGGCAGCATAGTGAGACTCCATCTCAAAAAGGAGTGAATTAATTTATTAGTCAAATTGTTTCCCTGGATCCCAGGTCGGGTGTGTTCAGAGGGCCAGAGCTCCTCTGCCTGCCCCTCACCTACACCGCCCCTCCCTGAGGGTAGCCAGCGGCCTCCCTATTTAGGCCATGGACCCAGGGGCACTCTCCCCGAGCTGCACTCCCAGCCCTTGTTACTTTTAATTTTAGGGCGGAGTTTTGCTGAGTCACTGAGGGCCTTGAACTCAGGACCCCGTCTTGCCCCTCAAGCCCGCAGGCCCCGCACCTTCCGCTGAATCTCTTTCCTTTCTCCTTTTCTTTAGCATCATATTGAACGCAGAGCTGGGTCGTCCCACGAGGCTGCACATGCGTGGACTTCTCTTTCCTCTGCTGGCCTCTCCCCCCCTTTCCCCCTCTCCCAGCCTCCTCTCCCCCTCCTTGTGTCCGCTTTGATGGGTCCTTCCACTTGTTCCTGAAGGTGGGGCTCCCTGTGGGGTCGCATGTGTCATGCACCGTGGTCCTGGAAGTCCACTCCCCTCCCCTCCCGCTCCACCGCTGCT